ATACAGCAAAACGCTTACATCCAGACTTCACTTTAAATTCATGAGCAGTCCCATTGAGACGCCTTCGTAAAAGTGATGGCCTTAATTCTCAGGTTTCCGAAGGCTGTTTGAAACCAGAAGGCTCACTTGGCCTTCTTTCCTTCACCAAAGTATCCAAGCACCTTACAAGCTTTCATAGCTTTCCTGTAAGATAAGGAAATATCCCCATTTTGCAGCTAGGGGATGACTGAATGATTTGTTTACGACCACACAGAGAGTCTGTAACTGAGGGGGAAATTGAACCCACTGATCCTAGTGCCAGTGTGCTATCCACTAGACCATCCTTCCTCCCCGCTTTAGCAGTGTTAAGGTGTCTTAAAGCAGGAGAAATATTAAGGCTCTTTCTCCCTACCTTTACTATACTGCTTGAGTTGCGAAAAGGTGCCTTATTAGGCCTGAGTCTCAGTTAACCTCTGTGCTAATTATAGAGCAGGCTGCAATGATTAAGGATTCATAATGATTTCCCGTCTTACCCTCTAGTCATTTGGAAACTTTCCTCTCTTGGACTAAAATTTTCCATGCTTGGGGGCTCTCTCCAATGGTAGATTTGTTCTGAAGGCTTGAAGAAAAAGGGGGTCAGGTGTTCTTAAGCATACGGAGCGTAGGGAAAAAAAGATACACTTTTCCCATTGCAAAATAAAGTAAAAATAAAATAAAAATGCATGCATTCATTTATTTGAACACCTGTATGGTCAAAAAGGAGTTGCAAGGTGACTTAGAAATAACCCTTCCTGAAAATAATAAAAATACTACCTAGCTCTTTTCATCTGTAGATTCAAAGCACTTTACAAAGAAGGTATCAGTAATTTCAGTTTACAGACAAGGACACGGAAAACAGAAGCCATTTGCTTAAAGTAACCCAGTGGGTTTGAACTAGAAGCCAGATCTCCTAAGATCTAGTCCAGTGTATTACCCACTGGACCACACTGACTAATTACCCTGGAGAAAAGTGGCAGCTTCGTGGTATACATGGGTATTCCCTTCAACCTGTCCCTGCACAGGTATTCCATACCCTTAACACTTCCTGTATGCAGCCTTTCAGGCCACATGTGCCCTGATGAGCCAGCAGTAGGATATAGGCCAAAATGCATGGCTGTGTTTTAATATATATGGTACCAAAAGAGTCGAGTAATGTGACAGCACAATTCTGTACTAACCAGCTGCTTGAAAACAATAGCTCTAATATCTGACAACACTAAAACAGGAGAGGTTATTGACTGCTAGGACAGCTGTGTGTAATTTCAGGAGCAACCTGGTCTTATTCTAAATGTACCAAAAAACTAATAAACTTTTTCTCTGCAGCTGGATGTAGCATGGTCTGTGTCAAATTAAAAATCTCCAACAGGCCAGGAAAATTACAGAAACTAACCTCAACTGACAATAATATGGATAATCACTTGAAGCCAGCTACCGGTACCAATAAGAATCTGCAGTTACTCTGCTAGTGTTTTCTTTCCAAAAAGCCCTATGATCAGAAATCAAACATTCTGGTCAGGATGTGAGTATAGGCTACAGGAGAACAAATACACTAGAATTGAAATAAGTGGTCATGGTTTCTGCTAAACTCAGGCCACTTCCTGATTTGAACCAAGGACCAGATCCTGCAAACCCTTATGCACGAGTAACTGTAAGGCAAGAAGTCCCTCATGTTCAATGGTACTAATCATAGGCAGAAAGTTACTCATGTGTGATTGTAGGACCAAGGTCCTAGTTAGCACTATGCAGTACATGCACAGGTGTAGTTTTTAGATCTTCATACAAATGTGTTTACTTTCTTTTTATTTTATGTTTTTCAAAATCAATCGTCAAAGCCAGCACAAAAAACTGCAGTCCACTTTCACAAATTCTTTCTTTAACAGGTTTGCAGAAACGTCAACAGCAGAATCAGGAGCAGAGCTTTTAAACCGATACAAACTTAAATCCATAAAAATGAAAACAAAAAGCCAACAACAACAAAGCAGATAAAATTATGGGGGATGGTTAATACAACATCATATAATACTCTGCCAGGAATATAGCTTTTTCTGATCAATATCCAACCAACAAGAGAAGAAATTAAAAAGCACTCATCAAAGGTTAAAACCTACTTTTGACGTAAGGGTAAATGTGGAAAATATCTCTTTTAACCTGCCAACGTGCAGATGTGATATATGACAAAGACCCAAAATGAGGAAAACTAAAAATGTTTCATGATGGGAAGCTAAAATGCTGGAGATTCCTTTCTTTAGTGTTGTTGACTTTTTCCATAGCTGCAGTTTCATGGTTCTTTATTTCTGATTTAAATATTCTCAACAACAGCAGAACAGAGGAGACTAAATGTGTGTGGACCATAGAACTTTGGGAATAGGTGATTTTCCTTGAAAGGAAGTACTCTTGAGGGTGGGAAATAGAGTTAACCCCATAGAAGAGATTATTAGGGCAGCCTCCTGTTTTAAGGGACCATTCAAATTACCACCATATGTAGTGAGTACAAGTCTGCTCCACATTTATCAGATTAAATGGTCAACTCCATTGAGCAATCAATTTTTGTTAGTGTCTTGATTGGTATTTTAGGACACATCCCACTGTTAACGGGAATGTGCAAAAAACATACCATTGTCTTGGTGGAGACTTAAGAGGATTTTTCTGAAATAAGAAATGTCATGATACTAATACAGGAACCCAAGTTTGGCAATTCAATAAGATGGAAGTCAAAATACAACCCCCCTGAACTGCAAACATTTCTATTTCTTGTTTTTAAAATAGCAATTCAGTGAAACTTTATCTCTTTCTGCCCTAGTAACCTTATTAAGTACTCTTTTATTAGCATGACTCAGTTGGGTGGCTGTCAGCTGGTCAAGTTATTTTTATTGCAATGAGCATTTCACTGGTGGAAAAAGAATGTAAGTCTCTCCCTGCAAAGCATGTCAGTAGCTCTGTAATGAAGGAAAGTATCATTGAAAAGTTACTGTATTGTATCCACCAATCAAAAGCAATGACCAAAAGGATCTGACTATGTCCAGGAGTCTAACTGTACTTCATTAGCATTCAACACTCTAAGGTTACAGTACAACCAAGGTCACATGATTGAGTGGACGGAGGCTGAGTTTTCAAATCCCACCCCCTGAGAAAGGAAGTGCAGCTCACTACACTAAGCCTGTAGGCAGGAGTTGGTTAGTTTCTCTAGGCCTCTCAAATACACTTTCAAATCTATCACAATATTATTTTGTAGTGCCTCTCCTTACATGCTGGATGCCAACATGATTTACAGAGATACACCATCAACTTCAAAACCCCACTTTCTGCTTGAAAATCTGTTGCCTGCCATTGTCACAAAGAGGCACTCAAATTACTATATATGAAAGAGGTTAGAAGGGGGAAAGTGTTTTCTCTATTTTTTCCAGTTTGTTTACTTTGGACATTCCATAACACTCTGTTTATAGCCCTTTTCTCTGTTCCCCATGTACAGCCAGTCATTTCCCCCTATTCTATGTATTGCATACAGCAACAGGGGAGAGAAAAACAATTTTTAAAGACAGGAAAATGTGATTATGAAACCACAGAAACTTGTGGGGAGCCTCAGATGTAGGACTTGAAACTAATTTAAGCTCCTTTTTTAAAAAAATGAGTAGGTTTCGGGTTGAGCAGGGCACTTTAAAATGAGAACAAAATGAGAGAGAAATTAAGAATTTTTTTAAATTTTATTAAAAATAACAACAAAAACACCCAGACAGTCTCAAAACTTTCTTTTTTTCAGTTCCTGCTCATTCAAACTAAAATTTCCTGGAACTTCAGACTTCCTTTTCTCATGCACATTTTACAGGCACAAACACTCTAGGTCACACAAACACACACGCATATATATATATATACGCTCTGGCACTTATACACACAGCTGCACACTTTCACATATCAACACACGGTCGCATACATACACCATCACCCTTCAACATTCTGTCATGTACATGGATGCCCATTCTCATGTGTCGCACTCTCACTTGCACGCACACATATATGCTCCCTCACACACAAATGTGTTCTCCGACACACACTCCCTCCAACATCACATCGTTTGTACATACACATGATCGCTCCCACTGTTACACATCCGTGTCTCTCTGTCAGATGCTTCCACTCTCCTCTGATGTTCACACTCATACCTTCAGCCATCTTTCACAATCACACATATCCTCTTTCTCTTTCACACACCGCTCTATGCTTCTCTCACAATAACACACTGAGACCCCTTCACACAATTGCATTCACTCTCACCTACACAAACTCTCTCACTCTTGCCTGTGCGGATCTCTCACCATAACACACACAAACACCCCGGGTGTATCGCTGACCTTACACCCACACACAGCTCTGTGTGTCTCTCTCTCACACACCCCTGTGTGTAGTTCTCACCATTATCCACACACCCATCCCTGTGTGTGTATTGCTCACAATTGCACACACCTGTGTGTGTGTGTCTCTCTCACACACACCCCATGTGTATCTCTGACTATTGTACATACACACACCCCTGTGTGTCTCTCTCACAGGTACACCCCCATGTGTACCTCTCATCATTACACACCCATGTGTGTAACTCACAATTACACTCCCGTGTTTCTCTCTTTCTCACACACATCCAGTGTGTATCTCTCACAATCACACACACACACCTCCCTGCGTGTCTCTCACCACTACATATACATACACACATTTGTAACTCACAGTTACACACCCCGTGTGTCTCTCTCACCATTACACACACACACACACCTCCCTGCGTGTCTCTCACTGTCACCTCTACACATACACACGTTTGTAACTCACAGTTACACACCCCGTGTGTCTCGCTCACCATTACACACACACACACACAGCCGCCACTCCCGGCTCAGCGCCAGCCCCTGCCGCGCATCTCACTCCGCTCCGCGCTCCGGACCCCAGCCGGGACCCCCCCCAAACCGCGCAACGCGCCGCGGACCCACCTGTTCTCCGCCGCCTGGAGCGGGGCCGCAGCGGGGCTCAGCGATCCCAGCGGCTGCCCCGTCCGAGCGCCGCGCCGTGCCCCAGCTGCCGCATCCACCCACCGCCTCCGCTGCCGGGGGGAAGTGAGTGGGGAGCTCAGCCTGGCTGGCTGCCACCCTGGGTCTCCCCTCACCTTCCCGCCCCTCTCGCAGATCCCTCCTCCCCCTGGGCAAGGAATCCCCCGCCCCACCCCTCTTCTGGAGGCTCAGTCACCTCCCAGCCCCGGGGCACAGTCCCCACTCTGTGGATTTCCTGCGCCGGGCAGCATCATGCGCTAAGTGTGTGACTAGCGATTCACAGATCCGGAGGAGGCTAGAAAGCAGGGGACGGTGTGACCCTCTAGGGGACTTCCTATATAGCAAAGACAACTTCCCCATGGGAATTCCGAGAGCAGATCGTCTAGCGAAACAGCCCGTCTTGATTTAAAAATGATCCGTGGTGGAGACTCCTTCAGGACTCTTGGTAAATTGTTCCAGTGCTTAATTACCGCCTAGGTTAAAAATGGACCCTTTACATTTGAATTTGTCTGACTTCAACTTCCAGCCCTTGGACCCTGATCTCCCTGTCTCGGCTAGAATGAAGAGCCAGTTATTCAATATTTGTTTCCCATACAGCTATTTATAGACTATAATCAACTCACCCCTTCACTGTCTCTTTGTCAAGCTAAGAGCAAGCTTCTTGTGTCTATCAGCGTAAGGCAGTGGTTCTCAAACGTTTGTCCTGGTGACCCCTTTCACACAGCAAGCCTCTGAGTGCGACCCCCCCCCCCTTATAAATTAAAAACACATTTTTATATATTGAACACCATTATAAATGCTGGAGGCAAAGCAGGGTTTGGGGTGGAGGCTGACAGCTCGCGACCCCCCATGTAATAACCTCGTGACCCCATGAGAGGTTCCCAACCCCCAGTTTGAGATCCCCTGGCATAAGGCATGTTGTCTATTCCTTTAATCATTCTGGTGGCTCTTCTCTGAACCCTCTCCAATTTAGCAACATCATCCTTGACTTGTGGACACCATAACTAGACACAGTATTCCAGCAGCAGTCGCACCAGTGCCAAATACAGAGGTAAAATAATGAGGGCTGTCGATTCATCGCAGTTAGCTCATGCGATTAACTAAAAAAAAACATTAATCGCACTAAAAAAAATTAATCGGGATTAACCACAGTTTTAATCTCACTGTTAAATAATAGAATACGAATTGAAAGTTATTAAAACTTTTGGATGTTTTTCTACTTTTTCACATATATTGTATTCTGTGGTGTAATTGAAATCAAAGTGTATATTATTTTTGATTACAAATATTTGCACTGTAAAAATGATAAGCAAAAGAAATTGTATTTTTCAATTCACCTCATACAAGTACTGTAGTGCAATCTCTTTATCATGCAAGTGCAATTTACAAATGTAGATTTTTTTTGTTAAAACAAAACAATGTAAAACTTCAGCGTCTACAAGTCCACTCAGTCCTACTTCTTGTTCAGCCAATTGCTAAGACAAACAAGTTTGTTTACATTTACAGGAGATAATGCTGCCCGCTTCTTATTACAATGTCACCAGAAAGTGAGAACAGGCATTAGCATAGCACTTTTGTAGTTGGCATTGCAAGGTATTTACGTGCCAGATATGCTAACCATTCGTATGCGCCTTCATGCTTCGGCCACCATTCCAGAGGACATGCTTCCATGCTGATGACACTTGTTAAAAAAAATGCGTTAATTAAATTTGTGACTGAACTCCTTGTGGGGGAGAATTGTATGTTCCCTGCTCTATTTTACCAGCATTTTGCCATATATTTCATGTTATAGCAGTCTTGGATGATGACCCAGCACATGTTCATTTTAAGAACACTTTCACTGCAGATTTGACAAAACACAAAGACGATACCAATGTGAGATTTCTAAAGATAGCTACAACACTCGACCCAAAGTGTAAGAATCTGAAGTGCCTTCCAAAATCTGAGAGGGACGAGGTGTAGATCATGCTTTCAGAAGTCTTAAAAGAGCAACACTCCAGTGCGGAAACTACGGAACCACCAAAAAAGAAAATCAACCTTCTGCTGGTGGCATCTGACTCAGATAATGAAAATGAACATGTGTCGGTCTGCACTGATTTGGATAGTTATCGAGCAGAACCCATCATCAGCATGGACGCATGTCCCCTGGAATGGTGGTTGAAGCATGAAGGGATATATGAATTTTAGTGCATCTGGCATGTAAATATCTTGCAATGCCAGCTACAACAGTGCCGTGAGAATGGCTGTTCTCACTTTCAGGTGACATTGTAAACAAGAAGCGGGCAGCATTATCTCCTGCAAATGTAAACAAACGTGTTTGTCTGAGCCATTGGCTGAACAAGAAATAGGACCGAGTGGACTTGCAGGCTCTAAAATTTTACATTATTTTTTAATGCAGATTTTTGGACATAATTCTATATTTGTAAGTTCAACTTTCATGAGAAAGAGATTGCACTACATTACTTGTATTAGGTAAATTGAAAAATACTATTTCTTTTTTTTTTTACAGAGCAAATATTTGTAAATAAATATAAAGGGAGCACTGTACACTTTGTATTCTATGTTATACTTGAAATCAATATATTTGAAAATGCAGCAAACATTCCAGATTTTTTAAATAAATGGTATTCTATTATTGTTTAACAGTGCAATTAATCATGATTAATTATTTTAATCATGTGATTAATCGCGATTAATTTTTTTAATCGCTTGACAGCCCTAAAAATAACCTCTCTACTCCTACTCAAGATTCCCCTGTTTATGCATTCCAGGATCACATTAGCACTTTTGGCCACAGCGGACTGGGAGCTCACCTTCAGCTGATTATCCCAAATCTTTTTCAGTCATTAAAAGGATAAAGCCCCCCATCCTGTAAGCTAATACATGCATTAGCTGTATGAAAATGCCTATTAGGCTAGTCTTCACTTACCGGCTGGTCCGGCGGCACGCCATCGATGTTCTGGGATCGATTTATTGCGTCTGGTTAAGACGCGATAAATCGATCCCGGATCGATCCCGGAAGTGCTCACAGTCGGCGCCGGTACTCCAGCTCGCCGAGAGGAGTACGCGGCGTCGACGGGGGGAGACTTCCGGCCGCGTCTGGACCGCGGTAAGTTCGGACTAAGGTACTTCGAATTCAGCTACGTTATTAATTCGAATTCAGCTACGTTTGCCTGCACCCAGCATACCAAGCGATCCATATCACTCTATTTCAGTGAGCAGTTCTTCTCATCACCACTCCCCCAATTTTTGTGTCATCTGCAAACTTTATCAGTGACAATTTTATGTTTCCTTCCAGGTCATTAATACAAATATTAAATAAGGTATGGCCAAGCATTGATTCCTGAAGGACTCCACTAGAAGCACAGCCATTTGATGATGATTCTCTGGTTACAATTACATTTTGAGGCCAATCAGCAAGCCAGCTGTTAATCCATGTAATATGTGCCATGTTCATTTTAGATCTTTCTGTTTTTTTAATAAAAATGGTGTGCAGTACAAAGTCAAATGCCTTAAGAAAGTCTAAATCTATGACATCAACACCATTCCTTTGTCAACCAAATTTATAATCTCATAAAAATATCAAATTTGTTTGCCAGCATCTATTTTTCATAAACCCATGTTGATTGGCATTAATTATATTATCTTCCCACAATTCTTTATTCATGAAGTCCCTTATCAGTTGCTCCATTATCTTGGCTATGACTGATGTCAGACTCACAGGCCTATAATTACCCAGATCATCCTGTTTACCCTTTTTTAAATATTGGCACAATATTAGCATTCTTCCCATAAGGACAGCCGTACTGGGTCAGACCAAAAGTCCATCTAGCCCAGTATCCTTTCTACCAACCGTGGCCAATGCCAGGTGCCCCAGAGGGAGTGAACTTAACAGGTAATGATCAAGTGATCTCTCTCCTGCCATCCATCTCCACCCTCTGACAAACAGAGGCTAGGGACACCATTCCTTACCCATCCTGGCTAATAGCCATTAATGGACTTAACCTCCATGAATCTATACAGTTCTCTTTTAAATGCTGTTATAGTCCTAGCCTTCACAACCTCCTCAGGCAAGGAGTTCCACAAGTTGACTGTGCGCTGTGTGAAGAACTTCCTTTTATTTGTTTTAAACCTGCTGCCCATTAATTTCATTTGGTGGCCCCTAGTTCTTGTATTATGGGAACAAATAAATAACTTTTCATTATCTGCTTTCTCCACATCACTCATGATTTTATATACCTCTATCATATCCCCCCTTAGTCTCCTCTTTTCCAAGCTGAAAAGTCCTAGCCTCTATTCCAAGACTTATTGAAAACCAGCATTAACAGTCCAGTGAGCTCCTCAGCCAACTCTTTTAAAACTCTTGGGTGCAAGTTAGGAGGAGCTAGTGAACAGGACCAGCAAACAGGGAGAGGAAGTTTAGAGAGAAAACATGAAAGCCAGATACACTTAATGCTCTGTAAATGTAGTCCAATAACAACCTCCCAAAACCCAAACAATAGCAACAAAACAAAGAACAAACACCCCCCCACTGCAAGAATAAAAATAATTCAGGCAGAAGTCCCTAAACAGAGGGGAGGCTGCCCAGTTTATTTCACTGAATGCCGCATGTAGGATTACCTACCTTGTGGGCAGGCAGTGCATGTGTGAATTTAGTGCAAGCAACTCATGGGCCTCAGAGACCGAATATGGGCTCTTGAGATCAGAGTGCCTGAACTGGAGGTGCTAAGGGAGAAAGAGATGTACACAGATGAGACTTTCAGGACACCGGTCCCGTCCCCAGTCTGATGGTCTCTGTGCTGTTGAGGAGGATGGAAGTTTCAGAGAAGGAGACTAGCAAACTGGAGTGGAAAGAAACCATCCCATGATTGGGACCTACCTTCCAAATGATGTCATGGTGTCCTTTCACACTGAAGAGATCCCTCTTGGGGAGGGAACCTTTGTTATTTGGAAGAGAGAGGTAGGGCCGCTGAGAGTGGGTTCAGGCCCCGGTGAAATTTTTTTTTCGGGCCCCCCAGCAAGGGCGGACCGGCTAAACAGGGCCGACGAAACCGGGGAAGCCGGGCCTCGGGCCCCCTTCCAGACTGCCGGGCCCCGGTAATTTGTACCAGCTTCCCCCCACTCTCGTCGGCCCTGGAGAGA